AAAAGCATTATAGAGAAAATGTATTAAAAACAATAGAAGCACCTACATGCACGCTAAGCTTACCAGACATCACCCCTTCACTCCAAAGGCTCAAGCAGGTCCTTCAAACCAAACCAAACGTGTTTTGTTTTTTGTGGCTATAAGTTCCTAGCCCCTTCAGCTCATAACAAGAACCGAGAACAGGCAAGTCTTTCCAGCACTTCTCAAGAAGAATTGGGTCCCCTCTGCCCTTAGGCAGAATGTCCTGTCCATTTGCTGAAACAGAAAGAAGCCGAGACTCAGCTATTTACCCCCAAATCCCTTTCTTTGTTGGTCCTGTGAGAGTCCAAAGTGAGCTAGTATATTCAAGCCTCTCTCCAGGAGGTGGTAGCTCTCTGGATGGGATACAACCTGAATGAATTTGCCTAATCACCCCCACTCCTCTTAGCTTTTGGAGGGCTGTGATCTCCCTCTCCCATGGAAATACATACAATCCTTGGCCCACAATGATGCATACACTTTGTTCAGCATGGTTTGTTCAGGATATTGCAGGAAATTGCCTTAGCTGTCACATCTCCCCCTAAAGAACAGGTGTAAGTAGGATGCTGTCCAGCAGCTCCAGGGAGCCTTCTGGCTTATTTCTTGGGCAGGCTAACCCATAAATAGCATTGTTACCATTATCTTTTATAATTTCCTATAATAACTATTTTCCAAGCAAACCAGCATACATCCTTCAAAAATACATAGTGGCATTGGCAAACCAGCTAATATAATTTCTCTTTATAGCCTCTAGGGCTAAGCTGTCACATGGCTGTTCTTATCTCTAAACCTGTGGGTGTAATTTTGAGATGAGGCTCTCCTAGTCCCACCTAGTTTCTAGGGAGTGGGTGCAGTGTTTGTTTCCCAAGGGATTTGCTGCCCCAACTCTGGGTTGAGGTTCCCCATCCTGAGACACAAGAAAGAGCCCAACAGAGGCAGCAAGACTGAGTACGTTCCATTCAAACTGAGTTCACCACAGCAACAGGAGTTGTGGGCAGCTCAACAGCTAGAGCAGAAGCTGCAGCTGGAAAAGACACATAGCAGCTGGAAGAATGGGATCAAGAGAGTGCAGACTGGGAGCACCAGTGCTTGTATAGAAGAGAAGAGAAAGAAAGCCACTTTGTGCTAGTTTAAGATGAGGGAGGCTGCTACTTCAAGGTAAGCAAAGGGCCAGAGGACGCTACCTGTCTGACAAAACACATCTGGTCCCTCAAGAACACCCACAGGAAGGGTGAGCTAGTGAGACTTTGCATGTAGGACGTGTTATAATTTTGTATGAAAGATACTCTCCTGTGCTTTATCTGTTAAGTAATGAGCATAAAGTTGAGGGATTGAACAATGTGTGTTTACTGTGCACCCCTGAGGGAGCTAAACTGTAAACCAGAAGCTTCGGACCTTTTGGGTGGACGTCTGAGAGAAGAGAGAACTGCAGAGTCTGGAGGGTTAGCGCTGGACCCGGAAGGGCTATGCAATTGGGACGGTGAGATCCAACACTCAGGGGGTGCCAGATAGAGTGACTACATCTGAGGAAGTGGGTCTGGCCCACGAAAGCTCATCATCTAATAAACCATCTTAGAATCATAGAATCATAGAATAATAGGACTGGAAGGGACCTCGAGAGGTCATCGAGTCCAGCCCCCCGCCCTCAAGGCAGGATCAAGCTCCGTCTACACCATCCCTGACAGATGTCTATCTAACCTGTTCTTAAATATCCCCAGAGAGGGAGATTCCACCACCTCCCTTGGCAATTTATTCCAATATTTGACCACCCTGACAGTTAGGAATTTTTTCCTAATGTCCAATCTAAACCTCCCCTGCTGCACTTTAAGACCATTACTCCTTGTCCTGTCCTCAGAAACCAAGAGGAACAAATTTTCTCCTTCCTCCTTGTGACACCCTTTTAGATATTTGAAAACCGCTATCATGTCCCCCCTTAATCTTCTTTTTTCCAAACTAAACAAGCCCAGTTCATGAAGCCTGGCTTCATAGGTCATGTTCTCTAAACCTTTAATCATTCTTGTCGCTCTTCTCTGTACCCTTTCCAATTTCTCCACATCTTTCTTGAAATGTGGCGCCCAGAACTGGACACAGTACTCCAGCTGAGGCCTAACTAGTGCAGAGTAGAGCGGCAGAATGACTTCACGAGTTTTGCTTACAACACACCTGTTGTTAGTCTTTAAAGTGCTACATTGTCCTGCATTTTGCTACATCCTGAGAGTGTGGCCTGGGAGAGGTGCCTCTCCCTCAGTAGCCACAACCCCAGAGCTGCCGTGGCCAGGGGACAGGACTAGGGTGATTCCTCTCTCTCTGCCACAGCCCTGGAGCAGCTTGTATCCCATACCTTATCCCCAGCTCCACTCCAGAACCCACCCTCCCAGCCTTTTGCTCCAACCCTGAGCCCTCTCCTGTACTCTGAGCCCCTTATCCCTGAACCCACCGTACAGCCTACATGCCCAGCCAAAGCCTTCACCTGTCTGTCCTCCCACCCTCTGCCCCAGCCGAGTCCCTTCTCATACTCCAAATCCCTCAGCCCCATGCCCACCACACATCACCTCCAGATTGGTGCACATAAAAATGCATTACACACATGCATGGGAAAACTTAAAGGGAACGTTGCTAGCGAGCCCCGATTGGGGCAGCAGGTGGATTCCATCGAGTTTGTAGGAACTTAACACATCCCAGGATATTCAGAGCACAGAGACTTGGATTCCCCTCAGAGCAGTTCTAATAGGTAGCCAAAAGGGGGTGCTCATTAGGATGTGAGGGGAGGATACCACAGCAGGTAGAAGCAGGTGGATGGAACTGCCCTCATTCTCCTTGGCATGGTAAATACCATTTAAATAATACTGCTCATTAGGAACATTTAACTACTATGCTAACCCCCTCTTTGATGAGAAGGTACTAGCCCCAGGCATTGACAGTGGAGTTAGAAACAGTATGGCTCCTAAAGAAGCTATACTGCCAAGGACAGGGGTAGGCAGGCAGAACCAGAGAGAGGGAGCTTTGGCTAATAATTCCTTTTCTCTTGGCTCCCAGGACTCCATTGCCTCCTCCATGACCATACAATCTGCTCCTCCTCTGAAGAAAGCCCAGATCAGTAATGCTGTCAAAGTTTCCCAGTCCTGTCCTGTAGCTGCCATATCATCTGGTTTCTTATTGCGTGGGGGACTGTAGTTTGATTTTGCATATTAAAAGTTCCTTTCACTCTACTCCAATAAAAGCCCAGAGCAGGTGCAATGTCCATGACAGGGGTCAGTTTCTCCAGTTGCAGATTATATTTCTATTTATAAAACACTTAGGGCTTTCCTTCTTTCAATTGTGGATGGATTCTGCACCTCCTACTTCCTTTTGATATGTTATTTAGCCCAAGCCAATAAAATATGCAAAAAACTTTCACAATTGTTCTGTTACCTTTATAGAGTAGCTGAAATTGTTGTGGCAGTTTCTGGAGATACTCCACCACCAGAAATTTGAGTGATTGTTCTATGGGCAACATTCCAAGTTTCCTAACAAGCTACACTATATGAGCCACAGTTTTCACATGTTCCCATTGCTGCCAGTGTGTGTCAAACATTCAAATTGCTCATTGCCTGCAGACCTGATATGCTGAGTAGCCTATACAAGATGCTGCGCAGCCACAGGCACTGGAACTTATAGGCATGAGCCCTGGAAAAACCTGATTCAAACCCTACTTCTACAGGGTTTGTCCCCTTTCCCCAGGACCTGCCCTTTCTTTAATTTAAGGCAAGTTTCACTGTAAATAGCAGAAGAATTACTACATAGCCACAGTGGTTGCCAATACGTATTTGCAACCAAATATGGGCCTAAATCAAACCAGAAGATTCAAATACTCTCAAACTTTAGGAAGCTCAGACCTGAAGCTGAAATGTGTAGCTTGGCCCCATCTTTATGTAGAACAGAATAAGAGAAATTGCTATGAAGTGTAGATTTACCGTAAATTAGTGCATATAACCTGCGCACGAGTATTACCTGCACCTGTGTATAATCTGCAGTTTTCCCTGATTGAGTAAAAACTGTCTTGTATACCCTGTGCACGTGTATCCTCCGCAGATGAACCACAGGTCCTGTTAATGCAAAGCACCTGTAATCAAGTGTTAATGAGCTTCTGCAGTTTTCCCTGATTGAGTAAAAACTGTCTTGTATACCCTGTGCACGTGTATCCTCCGCAGATGAACCAAAGGTCCTGTTAATGCAAAGAACCTGTAATCAAGTGTTAATGAGCTGCAGCTGATAACACCAAACACTAAGTAGGCTACAACCCTTATCGCTGGTATATAACCCCTTTGAACCACACTCTTTTCCATTCATTTATTCCTTCAGTGGTTTTAACTTATATTTTAAACTTTTTAAACATACCTAAGCGCAAATCCTACACAGCTGATTTTAAATTGTGTGTAGTGGCAAATGTGAAATTCTTTC